CCAGCATCGTGGCGTCTGCTATTGCGGTTTTGATCTTGCGAAATGCTTCTAGTGCCTCCGGAGTCAAGCTGAAAGTTTTACATTTACTTTTCAGCAGGTCGGTCAGTGCAGTCAAAATGTGTGCACATTGGGGAACGAAGCGACGATAATAGCTCACCATACCCAGAAACACACGCAGAGCTTTAAGTGACGCTGGGACTGGGAAGTCTTGGATCGCCTGTACCTTTTCAGGTAGTGGGCGAATGCCTTGCTCGTCGATAACGTGTCCCAAAAATTTTAGTGAACGAACGCCAATTGGCATTTGGCCAGGTTGACTGTCATCGAATGCTCTGACAGTCTGGCGAAAACCTGTTTCAAGTGGTTAAAATGAGTGTCTTCGTCAGGACTAGCGATTAGTATATCGTCTAGGTAGGCATAGGCGAAATCGAGTCCACGTAAAACATCGTGAATAAAACGTTGGAAGGTTTGTGCTGCATTGCGAAGACCAAAAGGCATACGGAGGAACTCAAAAAGACCAAACGGTGTAATGACGGCTGTCTTGGGAACATCATCAGGATGAACCGGGATCTGATGATATGCACGCGTCAAGTCAAGCTTACTGAAGATAACCGAGCCTTTTAAAGATGCAGTCAAGTCGTGAATGTGAGGGACTGGGTAACGATCTGGAATCGTTTTAGCGTTGAGCCTTCGGTAGTCACCACAAGGCCTCCAGTCCATGCCATTGTTCTTGGGTACCACATGCAAGGGTGAAGACCATGGACTGTTGGATGGTCTGATTATTCCCATTTCAAGCATGTGTTCGAACTCGGCTTTTACAGCACGCAGTTTCTCCGGGGATAATCGCCGTGGTTTCGCAAACACTGGCGGGCCAGTCGTCGTTATGTGATGAGAAACGTTCGAAGTCACACAAGGGACACAACGACTTGGCTTAAAGACATCCGGAAAGGACTGAATGATAGACGCGTAGGGACTAGAAGCGTCCGTCGTGCAGTACACGGGACTGAGGGGCGGCGTCTTTGTGACTATACCGGAAACAGAGAGTGTTGTGGTAGAATCTATCAACTTATGCTTGCCAGCATCTACCAGCAGCTGATAGTGCTGCAAGAGATCCATACCAATAATGCCGGTGGTCACATCTGCCACTATGAAAACCCAACGAAAGGGACGACGCAATCCAAGGTTGAGATCGAGGAATCTCCGACCATAGGTTGTGATGGGCGAACCGTTGGCGGCACGAAGTTGCAGAGACATTGGCCGCAGACGCTCTTCCTTCGTAGGTGGGATGACGCTAGCTTCTGCCCCAGTGTCAACTAGGAAGCGTATCCCAGAATGTCGATCAGTGACGAAGAAGAGGCGACATGGAAGTGGCTCGCCAGCGACGTTAGTCGCCGTCACGTGCTGGCTCACACGTTTCCCGCCTGGTTAGCCTCGAAGGTGCAAGGTCGAGTGCACCTTTTGGCATTGGCACCATAACGTTTATGGTACCAGCACAACCTGGGTTGGGATTGTCGCGATTTGGAACGTCTGCTACCGGTACGGGAGGCAGACCTGTTGCGCGAGCGAGACGTGCGACCGTTGGAAGAACTACCAGACCGCATTTCGTTCCTGATGCTGCACAACTCTCATACAATTTTGAGATGTGAGCTATAACATCGAAACTTGTTGGCTCAACAGCCGAGGGAGGATGTGGGTTTTTGGACGAATCCGTGGCAGTAGACAGTGCAGCTGAGATACTAGTGTTGGGTTTCGTAGCATCCACAGCTCTGTCAGCCGCTTCCGCCAGCTCTATTAAGGGACACTTATGGAAGGGTGCGAGGATCCCTTGAACCGACTGTGGTAACCTCTGTAACCACAGTTGCTTGAGAAATGCTTCATCAATGTTGAAGTCAGCAATCAGCTGCTTCATCTGACGAAGCAGTTGCGTCGGCTTGCGATCACCCAGATGCACATCCCTGAAAAGTTCTTGCACTTTCTGCTGGTCAGTAAGTGCAACACGTTTGATGAGGGCGGTTTTGAGGCGATCGTAAAGATTCGGTGCTGGGTCATCTAGCACATCTGAGACGTCTTCGATCACATTTTCCGGTAAGCTGACGATGACTAAGTTGGACTTAGTTTCTTGTGATTGAATGTGTCTCAAGGCAAACTGAGCTTCCACATGGGAGAACCATGCAGATGGTCTGTGGGCCCAGAAGGTGGGAAGCTGGAGGGTTACGGCCATCTGCGCAGTCGAGTCGTTATCCGCCATTGATCAGGGAATTAACGAGGCACGATAGTGATAATAAAAAAAATTACAATGCAAAAATAACCAATGAGGAGTGCAATAATAAAAAAACGCTAGATCGTGCCAAAAACAAAATAGGCCAGACAAATCAACGCAAGAGAACAAAGGTACTAGACAAAGTAAGAAGTGATACTCGGGCTCACCAATTTTGTAGGGATGCGTGTTACAATTCCGTAACGTTTGATCAACCCTACTTAATTTGATGTGCTCTAGTACCTGCTTAACCAGTACTTTACCTAACGTGTAAGTACTGGTAACAAAACACAAATCAAAAGAACTGATACGCAATGTATTTAAAGGAGCTATGTATTTAAGGTAAATGTAATAATAATGAATGAGGGAAAAGTTTAATCAACTTATCTGGCTTGTAAGGCTGAACTAGGGACTCGGAGTACGTGCGTGGTGATCAGCACAATGGAGCGCAAAAATGGCGTCCAAGCCTGCTCGGATGCATGCTCGTTAAAACAAAACTTAAAACACCCTAAGCATCCGGAGGCAAGCTAGAGATTTATTTAGTTAATTTAATTTAAACTATTTATTTTAGCCCTAGTTATATTTTTGTGCCAGGAAGGTGCACTACAGTGGCAGCTATGGTTGGCGAGTTGCTTTGATGTCCACCCTAGAAAGGGCTATAATAACCGATAGCGTTTGTGAATTTCTTTTCATGAAATTCAAAACCAAAGCAAACAAGCTATTTCCCAACAATAAGCCAAACTTTTCAGTTACTCATAAAATCCGAAACAGGATTTGTCTGAAATATGATTATACACTAAGAGGCAATATTGAGTAATAAAATACAAACCCTAAATCGTGAGGTATCTGCCAGTTTGCCGTTATCGAAGCACTTTACAAAAAGTGCGTCAACGGTTAAAACGGCACAACTGTATCCAAGCTATCACAAGAGACTATAAAGGACGGGCGTCGTTTCTCTTGAGAAGATAACGATGCAAGATAAACAAGTGTTCAGAGTAAAATAGAACATTAGGGGACGACGAGAGAAACTACAACATCATCATGAACTGTGAAGGATACTAATATCTACGGACGTTAAATGGTGAACAAGATATGATTGAACAGAACGAACAGTCAAGGATGTGGATGTAGCAACATTATAAGGAAGCATGAACTATACTACTCAAAAATATCAAGTAGCATAAAAGGGTATATTCAGGGAACGTTCCATAGGGCGAACAAGGACACGTAAGAAAGGAGTTAACATGGTTTTTCTATTTCAGCTGAAACTGAAATTTTTCATTATATATTGGGCTACAATTGGTCATCTCAGTAGTTGTTATAATGATCTTTAAAGTCAATTTCGGTCATTAGCACGAACCTTAAGTCCACCCTCCTTTTCTCCGATTATTTGCAACAACTTTGAATGGCTTCGAAGCCCATCCTAACCACAAATGAAACAAGCAGTTAGGCTTCTTTGTTGTAAAAATCCGCCTTTGCAACAGAAATAAAGAAACCTAAGTGGCTAGTTTAATCTTTGCGTGGAGTCACTCAGTCATTTTAAGAGTGACTTTAAGAGTCACCCTAGCATTTTAGCTGGGAAGACAGTTTTCCATAGCTGGTTGTCTCAGTAGTTGTTTTGGTGGCCTTATAATCGCACCCTGTAAAGTTACCCTGTTTCTAAGGTAATCTAAGTGTGGCTTTGAAGACCACCCTAGCAATTGCTAGAAATGATCATTGACTGTCGGCACTTCAGCCTGGGAAGGTAGTTTCTCATAAAATAAAAAAACGTAATTGGTTGTTCTATCAGTCTAAAACAACTAGTCCTTTTTATGAATCTAGACAGTGCAATTAGAATTCAACGTTTGTCCAAACATCAGTTGCCAGAGTGGGCTTTAAAGTTTCATAACTGTGAAGTCCACCATAGTAACCACTGGAGTAACCAATCCGTTTCCTCTGTTTCGGATAAAGCGTCTTTTTTGCGGAGTGTAGAAGCCTGGCGTCTATATATTTCTTTAGCTGAAAGGTCAGTATTTCATAAAGCACGAAGACTTAAGCGGTTGTTCCAGTATCTGTTCGGATGACGTTTAAAGCCAATCACTTATATGACTTACAGAAACCAGTGTAATTCAATTGATAACTTCCGAATAGTGAATATTACATCGATTAAGAGAGAAAGTGAGACACGCTCTGCTGTTAACCAACAGTTACCACCAACATAGTAGGACAGATGTGACATATGTTATCTGTGGAGATACAATTTGTTGGCTTCCAAGACTCAGTCAGTTGGAATCTCTTCTTGTTCAGTATTTCGTGCTTGTTGGTGCTGGTGTCTTTGTTTGTGAATATAAGGAAAATGTATTCCCCTGGTGTTTATAATCCTATACTAGTCTCTGCTATAGTGAGAGTCCTGACCACTCAGTCTTATTACTATTCGCGTAATGTCAAAAGCTGTTAACAACTGGTACAGAAAAATCAGCATCACTTTGACCCGACATTTCTACAATGACTTCACCAAAGTCAATGAATATATTTAATGTAGTCCAACAGGAAGTCAGTCACGGGCTGAATAGATCAGTAGTGACGTCCTCAACTGCAACACTGGCTGGCGTGGAATTGAATCTCACAGGAAAGATCAACCTTCGTGAAGTGACAGTTACTTCTTACTGACGAGTGATAACAAACATGAAACCTAGGTTCACAGCTTCCTGTTCATCGCCTCCATGCAGCTATTACATAAAACGAAAATTGTTTTCTTATTCTTCTTCGATTCAAAGGGAAAAAAGAAAAACAGAATAGCATAGAAAGTGTGAAGAAGTTAGTCCAGTGAAGTAAATCTCATTTGGTTGGTTGATTTCCATATTTGTAATAACCTTGAAAATAATCACTAATCATATTGAAGGTTGACTGCTGTATACATTTATATTAGTGAATATAATTACAGTGAACTGTCATTACAATATCGATTTTATAGCCTCAGTATATTTAACCATCTCACCAAATACACATTAAATGAACGTTATCCTAATTTCAGTAACTGATGTAATATTGGTGTTTAAATCAGTAACAGGATTGTGTTACATTCACTTGTTCATATTATTCTGAACTGAATAAATATAGAAATAGAGCCATTGATATCATTGCATTCAAATAAATGTATTCACAAGATGGCGCACTACTTAAAATGTTAAGCGTGTAAGATTACTCAATGTTCAAGTTTGTGTTTGTCTGAAAGTAAAAGTGGAAAAGCAAATTAAAGTTTCCGCGTTAAGAATATATGCAGAAATTGCTACTGAAGAAATGTGGAAATCATTTCACGGAGATAATATTTTTCGATAATAGAGACCGGGTTAGGATGAATGTTCTAGTTAGTAGCATTATTGGTGAGTTGAGTTTTTCTCCTGCATAATTCAGATAAAACACGGCAAACTGAAAAAGATCTTTTTTAACTTTCTGAGATAATTTTCGTTGAAATTGTGAATGAAAATAATTCATTATAGTTTACAAAATAGTCGAAGTGATCTGTTCTCGTTGATTGACGCCTCCTTTCAGCTAGTCAAAAGTGAACAAAATAAGAAAATATAAAATTAACTAAAAATGTACTCTTAAGAAAACTTGATTGATTCTATCACCTCACACGTTTCGCATGCTATCAATTGACTCAATATCGGGAAAAAACAATACCGATCACGGGATCACGGGAACCGCAAACATTCAGTTTTGCGGTTTCCGTGATTTCAAAACAGGCACATAATATAAGATGATGGAGAATATCTTTTACTTAAGTGAATGAGTTTGATGGAGTTACGCATTTCTTAGGTTGGATGGTTCAACAGTGAGGCTTTCACTATCTCTCTAGGCGTCATTATCACTAATAACTAATAATTAGTTGATGATTGATGCAAATGACGTTTTTGTGGGAATTTTCAAGATTTATTTCTGTTACTTGATCGTTACCTGTGACAAGAAGGCTGACCCAAACAATTTGATGCAGAGATGTTTACCCAACTCATCAGTAACTGTTTAAATTACCGATTAACCTGCGTACCTAAGGATATTAGATATCTGACTGTTAAATTCACTAATTGTTTGGATAACCAATAAAGTCACTTTTTCTAAACTTATTGGCTTAGAAATTGATTTTCGAGAATGAAAAGTCGTTCATAATTTTTTAGATTGCTTTCCATTAGTGCCATTTGGAGATGTAAATCAAAAGTAGTGTATTTAAGCTAAGGTACGGTTGCTGAAATGTTATCTGTTTCGGTCGAAATAAAATCTTCTATGAACTCTTACGATAATAATGTAAGCTGAGGTCATGGAATTAGCTACAACCCGCTCTTAACCAAATTCAAATGTTTATTGATTTTGAGAATGGTATACTCATCACAATAACTTAGTAAACTTCTGTCGGAAGATGTCAGCTTTAGTTGGCACACCTCTACTGTATATTGCTGTTCAAACAAGGGTACCTGAATATCGGTTTCATTATGTTTACACTTAGTCTACACAAGAATAACACATAAGAGTGCAAAGGTGAATTTGGTAAAAACTTCACTGGTGACAGAACCGTAACTCAATAATTCATCCATAATGAATTATCATCACTCCTGTCAGTAATGTAGAAACTTGGCCAGACTTGGCATTACTGGATAACTGGCCCAGTTGCCACACTTTGTATCACCATATCAGTGCAGAAAGCACAAAAATTAATGAATAAGCAATATTGAGGAAGGTAGTCAAAAGTAGTGGAAAATCGCGGAAAGAAAAAAGAAGTATAACAATAGTGATGATTAGAACGAAGATTACATGGGGATGAATTTGTGGACGGTTACCAACTAACCATGTAGGCTGTCAGGGTAAGACCAACTAAGAAATCAAATTTCCCCAAACAGCCCAAAGACTTCATGTAGTGATACCATGCTTCAGTTAGATCTCCTCCAACCTTTCTCCATCCTAAACCTACAGCAGGTAACATTGCACGGTGGAGGTAGACTGTGACTAGGCATGCGTAGTACACGTCAGAGTGAACTGAATTTACGGAAGTTCACAAATTCATCGACCAACCTTTTCTTCTCTACCAACTCTTCTGCATCAGTCGCAATGACACTACCACATGCGAACTAGGTTGCGAAGGCAACGGTGTTCGAAAACCTGAAGCCTTCTCATCTTCTTTAACACTAACCACCGTGTTCCAGGGTTATATGGTAGGTGAAATGGTCATTGTATTCAATCGTTTTACTTCCTGTTTTTAGACAAAGAACTAATGGTGATCGATTGTGTAACAAAGAGTTACATTTGGGTGGTTAGAAAGGTAATTCAAACATTCTCAAATAACCACTCAAGGTATCCATAATCCTCTATATCTTGTCAGCATATTCAGCAAAGACGATTACGTCATTAGCATGCTGCAGATTCACTAAGGTGTCTCCTATGTCATACCAAGTCTCCATTAAGTCAGATAAGACGAATGAAGCCATTGGATTCTCAAAGATGCTGATTAAAGTGAGAAGGTTCAATCTATCGATTTAGGGGACTTGTCACTGTAGTTGAACTGTGTTCCAGGTTTCCAGAAGTTCTAACATACAATAATGCACATTAAGGATAGTGAACCTAACCTTGACCAGCCTACTGATTTATTCTGTACAAGACTAGGGATGTGAATGTCTATATTTATTAGAATGTGGAAGGAGAAGCCGTTCGAATTACGGCTGTTCACTCATCTAAAACACATTATAGACAGAAGAGAAAAAAAATGAATAAAAATATTTTAGGATAGTCAGAAGCTTTTAGTCTGTGCCTAAAAATAGGAGTTTAACAATGTTGTGTGACTTTGATTTTCGTCTGGTTTGGGAAGAAATATTGCCTTCACTTGGCTGTGTATTACCACTCTACCAAAGAGTCACTAAATAGGTAGAAAAGTTAATTGTTACCAACCCGTCCATTATCCAGCATAGTTCATTCTGCGTAACAACTTATTGATGCTCTGTACTTTTTTCATTCCCATATTCGACATTCATACCATATTCGTGTATTCGTTTGTTTCTTTCGTTTTTTGAATGACATTTGACTTGTTGTGACGTTTGAGTTCGACTGTCTTTTGAATACATTCTTAATTATCTCCACTTTTTTGTTCTGTTTTGACACTTTCTGATGCTGGTAGATTAACGCCATTGGAAACGCTAAGAGAATACATAAAGACATATTCAGTCTTGTGTACAAACAACTGGAGTCCGATGCGTATCCATCATAAAATCTGGTGAAATACGACTGTTCCTGCTTTCATAGCCTGCATGGACTTGACTTGTCAGAGTGGAATACGTTTTTGCTGAGAATAAGTTACGTTATGAAACGCCAAATTTGGCTACTTCACCACCTTATTGTAAGGACTAGTATGAGATAAACTCATGAAGGCTGACTGTGAAAGACTGTACGATGGATGAAAGCAGGTAGTTTCAAGAGTCAAGTCTTTGCCAGATCAACAGACTGCAGAATATCTCAGAAAATTTCAGCTGAGCAACAGAACACCATATCAGATAATGTATTATATGGGTAAAAAACTACGTGACAAAACGGCAGACAGTAGGTTCTTCTTTCACCGGCTAGAACTCAGGAGATTACGTCAAAACATACAAGCGAAACTGGACTTTGAAGATGATAACTTAGACATAGACGAACTATCAGCTTTTGCATACTGCATTTAAGATGGGATGAGGTTTCTATCAGTATCACAGGCAACATATCTTCGTCAGATCAAATTGAATTCCTGCTTCTGACGTTCGGTTTAGCCAATACTCTGAAAACTTTTTAAAAGTTTATAGATTAGGTAATTCAAGATTCACCCTTTGTTCATGAATACATTGACAACTCAGACAGACAGGCAGACAAAATCAACGTATAACCTGGCACAAAGGAAATCGATTCAAGTTTCAACACCTCACAATAGTATACAAACAATAAGTAGGTGGAAAAGAGTGATATCGAAGTAGACAAAAGTGTTTGAGACAATAAACAGTTTGAAGGTAAGAGTTACCGCAAATATTCAGGCTTTAGAAGAGGCCAAGTAGTGTATACATCTGTGCCACTGTGCTTGGTTTCAGCCATATCACCAAGAGTCCTCAACCACCGATCCATATTGTATTGATGGGGGACCCCAGCCAGGTGGTCTACACCTCCCCGAACGGCTCAGACCAAAAGTCAGAGATTTCATCGACCGGTGTCATGTCTTAGTTGGCCATCCCGAAATTTCTTCCTACCTAATCCAACTTCTTCTAGCATGGCGCATCAAGGTAGATGGTTACTTGATATGCGCAACGCATGTCCAACCCACGTCAGTCAATGGAGGTTCACAACCTCATCAATCGACCTGTCTGTCTTGCCCAGTACCCTTTGCCTTACTTCAACATTGCTCACACAGTAAAGTACAGGATAATAACCAATTAAGGCATTAGAATGAAGTCTATAAAGGTGGTTAAAAAGTCATACTTTAAAATGGTGATTGTTTACAGCATATTTTGAAATAAATCTAATAATTTCAGTTTGGTATTCTTCACGGACTGGTATCAATTGGAAAAACACTGAAATCGTAGGAGCACTAGACAGCCGTTTCGTCCCAGCACTGGGACTTCTCAGCAGTGCGCATCCACGTCTCCACCAGGGATTAAAACCAGTATCTTCAGCTTCTATGGCGTGTACGCCACCACCATGCCACTGGGTTGGAGTCTAGTGGTTCACAGTTCCCTACTTCTGTCAATTCGTCATATAGTGTGACCTTCGTCCAATGCTATTGTTGTGCACCTGTCCTTATATCCGACTTGGTCTGCCACAACAGTCATGACTTCTCGTTAGAACGTCAAGAAATCTCATCTCGAAGATATTCATTAGTGAGCAGCAGACAGTAATTAAATTTCGAGGTTAATATAGAGTGGTGATTGAAGGCGAGATAAAAACCTCCCTTGTGTCGGGGTTCGAACCAGCGGCCTCCGGATCACTAGTCCAGTGACCTACCAACTGAGCTACTTATGGGAAGTGGGACAGTTAATGAAAATGCAATCGACTGTGTTTAACACCTTTTTTTCAACCTTTTATGATGGGAAGATAATTAAAGTGACTCTTTCTGGCAATGGGAGTTGATGTTTTCTATTTGACAAGACTAAGCTTTAATTTAAATTACATCTAGTGGTAATATTGACGTGAAACGTCAGTCGTATGGGACACAAAAGGAACTCATTTGATTGATGAAGTTGTTTATCATAAAGTTGTAGGCGACATCAAGTAGATATGTGCTTAGCTTATCATTTTTGCAATCAGTTATGCATGTCTTTGACAATATTTGTTTAGTTTGCGTGTCCAGCTGAAGATTCTGTTGATCGCCTTCATTTAATTAACTTCTATGCCAGTGCATCATGATGACCAGTCTTCTAGGTTGGTGGTTACATTGCAAAATGATCGACAGAATTCGATCAACACTCAGGACTAGACAACATGAATTCGGTTACCCGCCAGTGACCAGTCAATGTAAGCAATCCATTCCTTCACTCTGATAGTCCACATCGGAATTGCTCGTTGGTAAAGTCTTTGGTTGCAGCGATGAGTGACACGGGACACCAGTTTCGCCAAGGTTGCCAGTGCAGCCTTGGTGACTCATGGTCACACGCACGAAACCTGGATGGAAGAGTAGCCTTGCCGACTACCCCCACCCAAATAACATCCAAGCAGGGATTGGAGATTTGACGACACGCTTATTGAAAGTAAATCAGGGTATATCCAGAGCTTTCTCGGAAATACATTAAATCGATAGCAAATGCAATGTAATTCACTTAGGACTTAGAAAGTGAAGAAAAAAATTATCCATGTTGGGTAGCTAAATCAAGAGGAGAGAAGAGAATATTGCGATTTATATACCATTGTTTATAGGATACCCACACACTTCAGCAGACGGTTGGATTTCACGTCGTCTCAGCCTGTATCTGTCAAGGTAGACTTGGTTGAACGTTGGTCCAAACGACCTAAGGGTTTGACCAGGAGACGAGAAAATCTCAGTGAAGAACTGAAGTGCACCGTGAAGACAATTTATTATTTTTCGTTATTGTTTGTCCTTTGGGTTCCCAGTGGAACATAGGGCTTCAGTAGCATGGCTCCATTTCACTCTGTTCTCTGCAGTCTTTTCAACCTCAGTCCACCACTTCATGGAAGCTTTCATCTCTTCCTCACATGATCTCCTCCATATTACCCTAGCCTCTCAAGCCCAACTGGTCCTTTCCCATTTGGATTCCACTCGACGGCCTGGCCTGGACTCGACTGACGTGTGATGTCCCCAAACGGTCTTCTCAGTGTATGTCCAATCCAATCCATCTCCACTTTCTTCTGCATGTTCGTTGGGCGATAGGTCCTTGGTTGATTCATTGTCAGCCAGCCAGCCAGCCAGCCAGCCAGCCAGCCAGCCAGCCAGCCAGCCAGCCAGCCAGCCAGCCAGCCAGCCAGCCAGCCAGCCAGCCAGCCAGCCAGCCAGCCAGCCAGCCAGCCAGCCAGCCAGCCAGCCAGCCAGCCAGCCAGCCAGCCAGTCAGAGTTCCTTGTTGCTCGTTCTTAATATTCTGGTCATCTGCTCGATCTTCAGTATCGAGCGTAAGCAGCTGTTGATGAATGTCTGCAGTTTGTTGAAAATGCTTTTCGTAATGTACCAAGTTTCTGAACCATATAGAAAGACTGACTTTATTGACTTAGTGTTGGAAATCCGGATGTTGTTCAAGCTTTCTGCTGAATGCGGTAGATCTCCACACTGGTTATTTCAGATTAATGAAGGCCTGTCTTGCTTTTCAGATCCTGACTTTGACAACCTCATCTGTGCCTGTGCTGCCTGTAGTTGAAACGATGCTGCCTAGGTAGGTGAAAGGGACCACCTCCTTAAGGTTTCTCTCGTTGGTCGTGGTCGGTGGTTCTTGTTGTTTTTGGCCGGGTACCTTCATCTTCTCCATCTTCTCTATGTTCACCCGAAGGAAATCCAATCTTCGCTGCCTCGCCTTTCCTGCCGACTTGTTAGTTTTCGCCTGTAGATCGTGTTTGTGCGACAAGACATTATACGTAAATCATCATCGGCGAAATCCAACTCTTCTGGGGTCTTTTGATCGGTCCAGCTAGTGTATGCTTCTCTTCTCGCTCTTCAAAGTTTGTTGCATGTAGAGACAATACTACTGAATAACTGCCCTCTAGATTTTCTCAAAATGTTTGTCAGGACTTGTAAGAGAAAGAGTGGTAATTGTAACATGCCTAAGAGGGAATTCAAATCCTCTATAGTGTTGCCGTGTAAAGAAAGCACATGGGAAAGTCAACATAGGGTTCTTAACAATGATAAAACTGGGTTAGCATTTAAACTGAAAAACTCACTCACAGAGAAACGTCTTAGGCTGAAAGATCCAATAGGCCCAATTAAGCGAAATAACCTGATCTATTAAATACCATGGAAAAATGAATATGAAGTCAAGTATTTAGGTCAAAGCAGCCGACTGGGGTCAGTCGGAGTTGATGAGCACAGACGTTTAGCGAATCATACAATGATAGACCTTACCAAAATAAGTAATTTAACGAAAACTCAGCTATCATTGTGCATACGCTGACCCATAATCATATTACAGGTGAGGATAGGATAACAATCCTGATCACCAATATAGCTGGGTGGAGGGGAAGATAGACTGATTATTGTCAATCTTTACTGATTGATTTAACACCTTACATACACAAAACAGGAATGATTAATCATCATGTATTGCAGATATCTGGAACATTTTACTACCATTAAAAGAAATGAATGAAGAATTGTTGGACTATCTAAAAGAAGTTTGAAAGTCGCATGATTACTTCTAAATGGTTATCAGCAATGAATGGTGCTTGAAACATGATCCAGTAAATAATACTGTATCACAGCGTGCTGTACATGAAATGAATTGAGTCCCTCTAAATATCATCTTAACAACTGCTGTGGTAGCCAATTATATTTCTTTGTTTTTTGGAACCTGATTGGTTATCTCAGCAGTTGTTAAACCGACCATTAAAGTCAGTCAATAATAAGTGTGATATGGAATTATACTCCACCACAGTGTCCAAGCTTTTACACTTAAAATGATGAATCAGGGAGACTTATCTGCATGTTTAATGATAAATTATGATTAATTGTTCACAAGCTGTGGCGTGCTTCATCAAAATCCTATTGGTATTTAACTACTGATAACAGTGACTTTATTTGTATTCAGCTGAATAGCTTTCGTGGACTGTTTGATTCACTCAACTGTCGGAGATCTAAGTTATCTGCACAGACAACTGCCGCTGTCTTGAGTATTTCTTTCCGACGGTAAATGCCTGAGTTCCAACCAATAGGCTTCACCAATCCAAGTTAGATTCTATCATTCTGTTGTGAAATCACCAGAGACATCGTCCATCTTTGCCCAATTTCTACCTAACACAGCAGTATGGTGTAGGTCGCACTGAATCTTGATGGAATAGTGACTATAAAAAGGCCACCCCAAGAACTGTTGTTATGACCAATCGGCTTTCGGTATTCTGCTTATAAAGTCAGTTTTTCACAAAATAAAGAAAAACGATTAGTCATATCAGCAGTTCTTAGGGTGACTTCTAAAGTCACTCCACTTATATGGCAGCCCATAGACTACAACACAAGCCTAAAGTAGAACTTTTGATGGGTCTTCGTCTGAAGGATGAGTGATTACCTTGAACTGCCTCATACTTTAGCTTGATTACGTCATAACTGAAAGTTAAAAAATGTTTCGACTAATTTAACCCAATGGCCTAACCGATGTCTGTATAAAAACACGTTACTCTATAGACCACCTTATCAAATAACGCAACAGCCAATCAGCTTTCTAAATTTTTTAGTAAAACTACATTAGCACAAGAAATACCGAAATTTGATTGGCTATTTCAGCAGTTGTTTGGGTTACTTCCAAAGTCAGTCCTCATAACAACAAGCCATAGTGTCAGCCATTCTAGGCGGTATGAAAAAGCATAGAACATAAATTATGAAAACACAGGATAGATGCTTTTGACTCACACATTCGAAATTGACATTGCAACTGAAGAAATATGCACAAAGTCTATTGAAGACAGAGTTATTTATTCATCGTTCAATATGCCTAGTCAGCAGGTGTTTAAATACATACTATAGCACACCTCAAACATTTAATTCTTGTTCATTATTATTACTACTATTATTATCACCATCATTAAAAATCTGTGCATTGTTTGTGAAAATGACGGAACTTGAGCCATAGAAGTTATTATTGTACTGCATGTATGCAGTTTTGTACACTGGTTCGCGAATTTTTCCAGATTCGACAACTGTTGTCCACTGATCCGGATGAGCACATAATAACGAATTCTGTGAACAAGTCAGCGATAGAACACATTCTTGTTGTAGTTCAGAGTTCAATGATATCATGTTTGTTTTGTTTATCTCATTATAACCGGGTAGATGGGAGCACTGTCTTTGGATTTCGTTAGATTTACGTGAACAGTGGAGTGATTCACTGACAGCGGTGTTTTTTCCATAATGCACTGCGTCAAGTTTATTCCAGTTCAAGGTTATTTCACCGGCTGGCTCCCCAGTCTTCTTCAGGTTGCACTGGTGCTGCTGCTTTTTCTGCTGTTGCTGCTCATGATAATCTTGCTGGTATCCGCTATTACTGACATTGCTGTCATTTTTTATTCCATCCGTATCACCCATATTATCATTACTCCAGACGTTTCCAACACTACTACGTATAGTAGGATGAGTAGTATATTTTCCATCAGTATTTATCAGTAGGTTGTTGCACAAATGATAAGGTGCAAATTTATAACTTCCATCTGGATTTGCTTCCTTGGCTTCATTGCCGCATTTATTACGTTGGTTGGGAGAAAAACATCGAGTACAACAACCACGACAGCTGAAATAATGAAGATAATAGCATAGGGTGATGAAACTGACTCCGCTGATTAAACAGACAATAAAAATTCCTAGGTTGGTAGAGAATCTGATACACACTGTGTTTGACTTGCAGTTGGAATCTAGAAAGAGTGAAAAGGAAGTAAAGGAGTAAAGTTTGTCATTTGTTGTAAAACGTTTGTAATAACAACGGATACTACTGATATTTTGTGAGTAACTAAAATGTGTTATATAAATTACTTTGCCTTAGTGAAGTACATTCTGTAGGCAATAAGACAATCTATTCTTCAATGACTATAAATCTCAACAAAACCTATATACCTTCACTTTTTTCTTCATTAAATTTCTTTAGTCCTGGTACCTAACGCTCTGCTCACTTATTCGTTATGCAACTCCTCATCTTCCCTCTTTGTGAGGTAACATGCATTATAGGAACAACTCAAAATTTTGTTCAAACCACCAGTCAAACCAATTAACTGTTCAAATACTATTAAGAATTACAGTTTTCCAATAGCATATTCGTATACGAATTATTAACTTGGGAATAATTTCTTCAAAGAGGATTTTTTCACCGAATCTCTTATATATAGCATCACAATGTGAATTATGAAGTTAAACAGGAAGGCAATATTCAGCGGCGAGCTGATAGATTCACTGTATGCATCATTCAGGGGGAGCAGATAGACAGATCAGAAGTCACTAGTCAGATTATATAAACTTATCCCCTTTGCAGGAATTGCATTAGTCTAGCATCCACGCCTAACTTATGGTCAATACGGATTCCGAGAAGATGAATCAGGTGGATGATTTAGATGATGAGATGTTCTCTGAGCTGGATGGTTTAATCGTAAAGCCTTCATTGTCATTCTAGACAACATCATCAGCATAAACTTCTTTCTTTCAGCGAACACAACACCATCAATATAGGTTTTTTTTAGCAGCATGCATAGCCTTGTTCATTCAAGGACTTACGTTTCACTACTGAGTAAAGTGTTTATCACGATAGATCAATATAAAAGTTGAATTGAAATACTAATTTTGAGCATTCATTTAAATAAATTTCATGTATACTGACATCAGACATATAGTCTTATATATGTGACTATGCTGTGAAGGAGATCGTTCCCAGAAATAGTGTTGAAGTAGTAATTTGTCAAGAAGTAAACTCAATGGAGCTATCATAGACCTTGTTCGACTCCAAAAGATTTCTTACAGAATATAACAAATCAAACTGATCGCTTAGAACTTGTCTTAATCGTTGAGATACGTCTTGAAATCATATCATATGTAACACTTTTGAAACTTTATTTATTCCAAATTGCCTCACCTTTCCTCTGTGAATCACTATTGTTAGTTAATTTTCTTACATTAATGAGTGTAAGCTTGGTGATTCGTCAACTCACTTTTCCTACTTCTTTTGTTATGCAGATTCTTGTGGTTAGAGTGAAACTTACATTCTTCTTCGCGCCTCCTTACGACTATGTGTCTACAGGCTAGATCAAAACCTACCAATAGCTGATCGTAACATATGTACTCTGAAGCATTTGTAAAGTATCAGTAGCTTGATGTTTTCTAAGTTAACAACAAAATGGAGAAAAAAAGGTCACGGTAGATGACAATGAACTTCTAAACATACAATAATGCATCACATTACGATCCCTGAAATATTATAAACTTCAGTTCAGTGAAGTCAGACAAAAGGGACAATGGCATAACAAAGTAAAGATGTTGTACAAGTTGAAATGAAGTCAAAATGTCATCTAATGATTCCATAAACATATACCTTATTAAGACGAAAGTTGATGCTCATCGCAAATTGACATCAGTTGGAGAAACGTGGAAGACCTGGAAACACTAGACAACTGTTACATCCGATTATGAGCCTTCATGACTCCATGATGAATACGATTTTGAAATCAGTAAATCCCTCCAAAAACATAGGAAATGAATTAATATTCAGTTCTCATTAGTAACGTCCTTCGACAAAAGAATTCCAGAACTTCTTATGAGAGAGAAGTCGTGACTCCATTGGGCAAACTAAATCCAATGTGGGGACAGTTACTCAACAGCGGGATTTGATGGGGATGGCACCATATCACAAACTGGCAGAAGTAGAAATATGTGGACCACCGGATTTCTAAGCAGTGGCCCATTGGTAACGTGCTCACTGCTAAATCTGGAGGTCTTACGCTCAGTCCCCGGTACGGCTGTCAGGGCGGACTGTCAGGGAGTCTCACACTAGGACGAAACAATCGTCCGGAGCTCTCAGGTTTTCACTACTTCCCCAAATGATTTGAATAAAATATATATTTATGAATTTTTTTCTTCATTTCCATTCTACAAGTTTCGTTGACCAGTTTTGTCTGAGTTCACTGAACTAAACCTGGTTAATATTTTAATGTAATTTATCATTGTAAATATTCTGGTTTGTAAGCAGCTGATGAGAACCACTGAAATAATTAAATGGATTCATATTAAATTGATCCAATGTTTTTTCTGGCGCTTTTAGGATTCTTGAATTAGTTAGGTGAAAGTGGAAACTTTGGTATTGATTGCTGAATAAACCTGAATTGTCAAACTAACGCATACTTTTCCACTGATCTCGGCCCCCTATCAAACCATACGCTAATCAAGCAACAGCTGACTGTTTCGAACTACTGTTTGTAGTATTATTAATAACATCACTGACTTGCTGTAATAATTTCGCTTGAAAAATATTTCCCAGGGAATAAGTTTCTTGAAATATATTACATGATGGGAATTCCATACTGTATTGAGAATAATTTTCATAGTAAAGCGATTACTTTTATTATTATACTTTAAAATCCCTAGATGTAAATATCTACCAGAATATTGATGAACATCTTATGTCTTGAAGCTTATTTGATGACCGGATTAAGAATACAGGACGCGCGTTACCTCGTATTTGAGACTCGTCAACCGGACGTATCTGTATCCCAGTAGGTGACGTAGTTCCCAATGAGACCCGAACCGAATACCCGTCACTTCAAACGCTATAACAATAATTGGTTGCATTGTGTTCTCTGAGCTGTGTTGTTTAATCGTCGGGCATTCATCGTCTTGCTAGATGAAATCATCAGCAATAACTTCAGTATGAAGTGAGCAGTCAATATCTCTCCGTGAGTCATTCAGTAGCTTGCCCTGACGAAGTGGTTTATGATTGGTGGTTTCCTTTGATTCCTGTATCATTGACTGTATAGAATTTCGAGCCGGCTGTTAATCTGATCTTTATGTTGCTTATCATCTTTCTCACTGGTTGATAGATTGGGTCTATGTCTATATATCCATCTATTGATTGCTGACTGACTGACTGACTGGGTTGAACACCAAGCTTCTAGGATTTCTCTAATATTCTTTGTGTTTCCTCTCTCCCTCCATGATTTCTACATTGTCAAATTTGAATTCATCTCCATAATTCTTATCCACATGCATTGAAATGAGTGATGAAATGTCGTGATGTTTAATGGCTAATTGGTGGTCATGTAGACGAAGGTGAAGAGGGCGACCACTTTGTCCAATGTACTGTTGACTACAGTTATTCCAGTTGATTTTGTAAATGATGTCCGACTTGTCTTCTTTGGTTGTCGCATCCTTTGACTTGCATAGTTGGGTTTGAAGAGAATTTGTCTGTTTATGAGTGGCCACACCGATTCCAAGTGGTTTCAGTAATCTTATCGTGATTTCTGATATATTCTTTATGTATGGTAGGATGATGGGTCTGTTGACATCCGTTGATAGCTTTGTGGTTGATGTTGTACGGGATGGACATCTGATAAAGTTTTGTGGGTAGCCATTCTTCTTTAGGATAGACACATCGAGTAATTTTTTCATTTATTCGTGAAGTTGTTGTACTGTAGTGTGTTCTCAGTCTTCTGAATACAGTCTATACACAAGTACTTTTGTGCGTTGTTGGGTTGTTCCTATCAGACTTAAACATTTAAAGTTTGTGCATTCTGACAGGCTTTTGTCTTCAGTGAGCAGGAGGGATATAGTTTCTGTGGTCAACTGGGGTTCGATAGAGGCGAATAGTGCTGTGACATCGAAGGATACCATTAATTCGTCGTTTTCTATATTAATGCTTTTGATCTTTTCTAAGAATTCTATTGACGATTTGATGGGATTCCCACATGATTGGATGCGATGTTTCAGTCTTCTCGAAAGTTTTCTTCATATGTTATGTGTTGAAGTTTCCGGAAGTGAGACAATTGGTCGTAGAAGGATGTCTGGTTTGTATAGTTTTGGTCTGCCATAGAACCGAGCAAGGATGAGTTGATTCGATTTCATACGCCATGTGTCTTAATTTGTTATTTCTTCTGCTTTGAAGAGTTTGTCCAAGGTTTTATTGATGTGATTGTCAAACTTTTGGATGGGGTTGGTTTCAAGTGGTTGATATACATTTTCGTCTTTGAGTAAATCCCATGCCGTCTTGATGTAGTCTTCTTTGTCCGTGACTACCGTAGTGCGTCCTTTGTATGCTGGAAGTATAACGATATCTTTCTTATTTCCCAGTCTTTTTAATGTTTTCTGTTCTTCAGTGTTCATTTGAGCATGATATCTCTTCTGCCTGGTTAGTGGTACGATTGTTCGCCGTATTTCTTGCTGAGTGACCTCAATTAATCCTGATGTTTTAAGTGATGATTCTAATGATGCAAAAAACTCTCGTTTGGAGGCATCTCTTGTGTTGTAGTTCAGTCCTTTCTGGAGGAGAAGTTCTTCCATTTTTGTTAGTAGTTGTTTTGATAAGTTGGCTACATTGTAGTTTGTTTCCTTGGCTGTGGGGTGCCTCTGAGATTTTGAGCAGCTTCATTCTGAAGACTTTTCTTCGTTGTTCTCTGTATCGTCTGTTTGATTTTTCAATTTCTATAATTAACGTTGGCGCGTGTTGTGTCATGAATAAGCTTTCTAGTTTTCTCTTTTGATTGTTAATCACTGATTGGTATTTCCGGATCCGATGATGTGCATCTGTTATCATCAACTGTACCATTTGTTCTTCGCTTTGTTCGCCTATTTTCCATCTCACTGGGAAGTCAATCGGCAGTCTATATCTGACACTCTTCGGCAGAATATGCTGACGTAGGCCCTCATAGAGAAAGAATAGTTGTTCTTTTGTGGAAGCTTATCTTTTGCAGAAATCCTCCCATCTTCGAACAACGTGAAGCGTATTATGCTCGTATGATTTTGAAATGAGTCCTGAATGTAGCGAAAAGCGCTTTCTGGACTCCTTTACAATGAAACAGACTACAGTATAATGAACGTGCAGGCGATTTCGATGAACCCTCACAAGAGCCCATCTGCCAATAGAGGTCAGACGATTTGACTCAGTATAACAACCGGATATCACAAGTATCAATATATAAAGGTGAAGCTGCTTACTTCGTTTACTTCTTCTGTGATGAACAATGAGTAAGCTGAAACTCACCTGTAAGTTTAATTTGGGGAAATGTCGAAGAAGGAGTTGAATCGTTCCAGGAAATTTTAAGGTTGACAGTCTTAGTTATCGTGTATACCTCCGGGTAAGCATAACTTTTCGACATATGCAAGTGCAATGGTTCATTGCTCATTCGTCGCGTAAAGTCACTGCAGAAGGAAGGCTGAGAAATGAAACAGAATTGAATACGGAGATAATCATAATAAAAATCACAATAATATGTTGAAACGCAGGCAGTATTCCTGATAACCGTATTCATCTGTTATTTTTCTTTGATAAATCTTCTTGTCACCTATTCTGTTTCGTAACACCCAATAAAGGGTGATTTGTACCTCGAAAGATTTATTCTTGGAAGTCAGTGTCACGCAAAAGTCCATCAGCAATGAAATTCTCTCTAGGCAGTATATAACATCTCAGTTCAATTCCACTTGATTTGGACTACTAAGAACACTCAGACCAGAGTGAAAGGATAGTATTTCCACCTCTGATTCACAAAAAGAATGTCGGAAACTAGTTTACTAAACACTTGGTTGAGCATAGGGCCTATGGAAACTGGTTATCTGAAAGTTTTCGAAACTTCAATCTATACTCACACTAAAGCTTTACAGAATACAGATGATCTCTTCATGAATTTAGTATTGGTAATGATACCAAGTCCGGTGATGAAACTCTGTTGTAAAATAACAAAAATCAGAGAAAATTAAACCGTTACCATTCTCATCCGTACTTACAAATTATTCCAACCATTTAAAGTTATCTCTTTAGGGTTCCTTCTCATCAAATCGTTCATTTGAATCAGATTTTAGTTTCCAGATTTGTCATGAGTTGTACCGCAAGCTTACACACTACATACAACTGACAAAAGTATCAGTAGTTGTAATTTCTTTTACTCAGTAAACAGGGTTTAAATTGTTTCTAATCCCACCCATAATGAGTGCAGTCGAGGTTGTTATAGGGTTTCCATCACACATGTCTTCAAAGCGTTGCTCAAGTGTGGCGGAATCACCATGTGAACAATGTTGAAGTCAAACGAGAAAAACCCGACATGAAAGGTAAATCGATTCATCAATTGGTGAATCTTAGTCGACTGAGGTGATTCGGACATGCTCTGAGCATACACAATCACTCATCACCTCACCTCAGCTTGCCATGAGAAGCAAAGTTGGATTGCATTAGAAGAGGGTTCAGACTGACCTGACTAACACGTGACACCAGTTGATGTAGTCCCTCACTGTTGGTCTCAGTCATGTAGAGAGATGTAGGATGGCTGGTTGGATGGCGTCACTGAGACGAAAGAAATCAGTGGTTGATGACTGACTCTTGGTGACATGGTTGACAATCAGTCACAGTGGTGCAGATGAATTCACTCCTTATCAGCTTATAAAGCTTGGATATTCACACTGACCTTTATCTTCAAAATGTCTATTCTCTCACACTACTTTGTCTACCTTGATATCACTCATTTTCTATTCAATCCATGTGTTCTTTTTGTACTGCTTTAAAGTGTAGTGATTTGAGCCGATGAACTTGCGTGCAAGGTCTTACGTTGGTTTTGTCAGTCATTTGGGTTATCAAGTTCCCAGAGCCTAATTGTTATCGTTCATCTGCATTCTGGTTTCAGATTTTTACGTTATGTCATCCTCTCTTTGAACTGTATAACTGGTGGACATTTTAGATTTGTTTTTGAGAAAAGTAAAACCAATAATTTCATGGATGAATATAATAATGTTACCAAATAGCTACTTCCCCCGTGGAGATTACAGTTGCCTTTCTTTGTGTGCATGTGTATGCGCGTGTGTGCACTTGAAAATAAGTGTGGCTAGTTGAGGGAGAGGAACAGTTGGGATACGTTCAGGACAGTAAGTCGTAGCGCTTTTGTCAGACATCCATTACTCACCTAAGTGATGGATACTTCCTTTTACGTTCCAAAGCCACCAGTTCAATGACAAATCTGTCAATTCAAAACTGTATTATCAATATCTCCAGGAAGATTTGCACAAACTAATAAGTATTATTTGATCCCTTTAAGTTGAAAATTACTGCATCATATTAAATCTTCTTAAAGCCCCGAAATGAGATAAGTGAAACAGGAATCAATATTCCTCATCATCAGAGAATTGAGTGGGAACTTCAACTTTCACAGTGTGGTTCAAACAGTTTTTTGATCAACTTAATCTTACTGGATAGCTTGGTACTTTGTAAGAGGTAAATGATGCATTGGAACCCAATTAGATTGGTTCATACTGCCAGATTTTATCTTCTATGTTCCCAACTGAGCTTAAGGTACTGGGATCGGGACAGCCAACAACTATTACCCACCAATATTCTAAGTATTTTGGTACATTTCATGTATTAATTAGTTTACCAGTCCTCTGAGTTTTATCACTTTCAAAAGGATGAGGCTTTAACTTTGAAGTTTTTCCGTTAAGTCGTTCTGCATCTCGCTGAAAATCAACGATATATTTTCACTAACATTCTTAAGTCAACATCACGCCTACTGATACATTTAGCGATCACTGGAAGAGTTTCCTCAGAAAGGTATCGACTGAAAATACTTTGAATTACATGGTTTTTCTTAGTTCGAGACTGCACCACACATAGCACCATCACATTCTTCTGAAAATGAACATGAAACTAGTTCACCTGGGGAACATTAGGTTGGAATGTTCTCAACTGTTAGGTGGATGAAGGTAATTGACTGGAAGTTCTGGGTTTAGGCTTTGTACTTGTTGGCACCCATCAGCAAGGCGTATCCGTGACGTCGATGGAGCTGATGTCCTGATTGAGATTTGAACCGGCGTCGCCCACTGTTGCATTGAGATAAGTTAGGACTGCTATGTGGGCTACGACTGACCTGTGTTTTACGATAGCACACTCAGACCATTTAGTTCCTACTGATTACCTTTAGGAATTTGCTGACCGACTGACTGGAGGTAAACCTGTCATCACATATTTTGTGTATCTTTCCTTACTATTTGGTTTGATATCATTAATTGGAAGACTTTGCAGTCTAAGTCACACTGAAGGAGTACGGCCCAGCGTAATTATACTTACATTCTTTGACTGCATACGAATACGACTCACCCTTGGAGATAAAAGTCTATACACTTTGTAAAACGCTTTCAAAGGAAATTCAATTTCATTTTCCCTTTTTTTGGACCAAATTACTGTTGACTGCCGACTAATATGAATAACAAATCAAATTTGATTTATTTGCTACAGTTTACACTTTGAGTCCAGGGTAAGAGTCAAATAGTTCAGTAAACATGAAGAGAATCTCACTGTAATTATTTACAGTTATGAAGGATTCTATAGCTTGAATTCCTAGCCTAGACGTACTACGAAAATATGTTGACAGATACATTTAAACGTTTATTACAAGAAAAGATACATCAACCTGGAAACAAAAATCTATTCCCTCATACACTGAAAGTTCATATTCTGCTTACCCATGTACACCATCTGTCCTGTTGGCAAACACGGAATATACAATTAATTTGGAATTCTATTACATTTGCATAATATTCACTTGAATCCTTACCCTTAGTTTTCATGACATTTGAAGTAGAATCGAATAAGTTGACTGTGGAAGAATATTTTGACAATCTTTCTATACTACTGACTGAAAGATAATAGTTTGGCGACATTTTAAAATTTCCGTAGGTTAGACGTTGATTTGAATTAAATTTTATTTGTCTGCGATAACCAGGCGGATGGAGTAGACAACTGAAAGGAATATAAAGCGTTAGTCAAGGTAAACAAATAGTCACTCGACAAGATCAGTTTGAAATGAACCTTATTTCTAAAAGTCTGTGAAATGAAGAAAAATCGGTACTCAAGGTCATTGACTACTGAGAAAGTAATTCCCACTAGTTAACCATATATTTTATTTGACCAATCAGATCGAACCAATCAATCAGTTCTCTGCTGACATTTTTTGTGGATTAGAAGTTCTGTGAAACAATTACTTTCTTACAGTCATAGATCAGTTATTACTTTCCACCTTCTTATGCATCGGTCAGACATGATGTCTCGTAGAAGCAAATATTATTCATGATCACCCGTTATAAAGCTGTTTTGATATCCATTTATTCATGCACTCACTAAGTTCACTGTGGGGAACTCTACTTATAGTACCTGAGAATGAATCAGTGAACAAACAGTGACCTTTCTCTTTTGTCAAGTAAAGACTATACAGATTATGTTGGTTGAGCCGTTGTACATTTACAGACAACGCAACGTTTAACATCCATTATCTTGAGAGTGCGAAAAGATTGACAGTTGACTTGTTTTTAGTAAAATCCTACCAACTGTCAGTCCACCATCACACTGTTGATACTTTCTGGTGGAAGAGCTTCACCGATTATATCTTCAAAGTCGTTAGCTAATCCACTCGTTTACCTAGTAATCATATGACTGTGTAAAGGTCTTATTTTCAAGAGTTATCTTCATCTGTCAGTCGCATATCACTTTTCATGCTTAGATGGTATGCTCACTGTCTGCAGACTTCAAGTAAATCCCACGGAAAATTTCAACACCCCCTTTAGTAAAAGTAGGGCAAGTAATATGCTATGTGCCATAGTCAAGATACAAGCCCTCAAAGTGAACTGAGACAGATTGTGAAGAGGATACAGAGAATTACTAGTTGCTGTCATTTGATTTTCTAGAGACCCAAGATATAATAAATCTGTCTTCTGCATTCAAGTCAGTTGACAGTAACCAGTTAAACAGCTGGATAATGGATCTTTGTGCAACCACTACCAGGATTTCTTCACTCATTCATTTTCCTTTTACCATGGTATGGATGTAGTGAGAGTGTATTCTAAAACCATCATAATTAATACGGGTTCATAAGGTTCACTAGTTGACTTGCTGCCTTTCACTAGAGTAAGGGTCTAACCAGCAAATTTCTCAGACCTCAGTACGTCAATTATTCAGCAGTAGAATGAAATCTAGTTATACTACTTAAGGGTACAAGTCACGTACCAGGCATCACTACACGTCAGCAGGATACTAAAAGACTAACAGACAGACAGACAGACAGACAGACAGACAGACAGACTGACTGAATGACTGACTGACTGACTGAATGAATGAATGACAGAATGACAAAACCAACGTAAGACCTTGCACGCAAGTTCATCGGCTCAAATCACTACACTTTAAAGCAGTACAAAAAGAACACATGGATTGGATAGAAAATGAGTGATATCAAGGTAGACAAAGTAGTGTGAGAGAATAGACATTTTGAAGATAAAGGTCAGTGTGAATATCCAAGCTTTATAAGCTGATAAGGAGTGAATTCATCTGCACCACTGTGACTGATTGTCAACCATGTCACCAAGAGTCAGTCATCAACCACTGATTTCTTTCGTCTCAGTGACGCCATCCAACCAGCCATCCTACATCTCTCTACATGACTGAGACCAACAGTGAGGGACTTCATCAACTGGTGTCACGTGTTAGTCAGGTCAGTCTGAACCCTCTTCTAATGCAATCCAACTTCGCTTCTCATGGCAAGCTGAGGTGAGGTGATGAGTGACTGTGTATGCACAGAGCATGTCCGAATCACCTCAGTCGACTAAGACTCACCAATTGATGAATCGATTTACCTTTCATGTCGGGTTTTTCTCGTTTGACTTCAACATTGTTCACATGGTGATTCCGCCACACTTGAGCAACGCTTTGAAGACATGTGTGATGGAAACCCTATAACAACCTCGACTGCACTCATTATGGGTGGGATTAGAAACAATTTAAACCCTGTTTACTGAGTAAAAGAAATTACAACTACTGATACTTTTGTCAGTTGTATGTAGTGTGTAAGCTTGCGGTACAACTCATGACAAATCTGGAAACTAAAATCTGATTCAAATGAACGATTTGATGAGAAGGAACCCTAAGGAGATAACTTTAAATGGTTGGAATAATTTGTAAGTACGGATGAGAATGGTAACGGTTTAATTTTCTCTGATTTTTGTTATTTTACAACAGAGTTTCATCACCGGACTTGGTATCATTACCAATACTAAATTCATGAAGAGATCATCTGTATTCTGTAAAGCTTTAATGTGAGTATAGATTGAAGTTTCGAAGACTTTCAGATAACCAGTTTCCATAGGCCCTATGCTCAACCAAGTGTTTAGTAAACTAGTTTCCGACATTCTTTTTGTGAATCAGAGGTAGAAAGACTATCCTTTCACTCTGGTCTAAGTGTTCTTAGTAGTCCAAATCAAGTGGAATTGAACTGAGATGTTATATACTGCCTAGAGAGAATTTCATTGCTGATGGACTTTTGCGTGACACTGACTTCCAAGAATAAATCTTTCGAGGTACAAATCACCCTTTATTGGGTGTTACGAAACAGAATAGGTGACAAGAAGATTTATCAAAGAAAAATAACAGATGAATACGGTTATCAGGAATACTGCCTGCGTTTCAACATATTATTGTGATTTTTATTATGATTATCTCCGTATTCAATTCTGTTTCATTTCTCAGCCTTCCTTCTGCAGTGACTTTACGCGACGAATGAGCAATGAACCATTGCACTTGCATATGTCGAAAAGTTATGCTTACCCGGAGGTATACACGATAACTAAGACTGTCAACCTTAAAATTTCCTGGAACGATTCAACTCCTTCTTCGACATTTCCCCAAATTAAACTTACAGGTAAGTTTCAGCTTACTCATTGTTCATCACAGAAGAAGTAAACGAAGTAAGCAGCTTCACCTTTATATATTGATACTTGTGATATCCGGTTGTTATACTGGGTCAAATCGTCTGACCTCTATTGGCAGATGGGCTCTTGTGAGGGTTCATCGAAATCGCCTGCACGTTCATTATACTGTAGTCTGTTTCATTGTAAAGGAGTCCAGAAAGCGCTTTTCGCTACATTCGGGACTCATTTCAAAATCATACGAGCGCAATACGCTTCACGTTGTTCGAAGATGGGAGGATTTCTGCAAAAGATAAGCTTCCACAAAAGACCAACTATTCTTTCTCTATGAGTGCCTACGTCAGCATATTCTGTCGAAGAGTGTCAGATATAGACTGCCGATTGACTTCCCAGTGAGATGGAAAATAGGTGAACAAAGCGAAGAACAAATGGTACAGTTGATGATAACAGATGCACATCATCGGATCCGGAAATACCAATCAGTGATTAACAATCAAAAGAGAAAACTAGAAAGCTTATTCATGACACAACACGCGCCAACGTTAATGATAGAAATTGAAAAATCAAACAGACGATACAGAGAACAACGAAGAAAAGTCCTCAGAATAAAGCTGCTCAAAATCTCAGAGGCACCCCACAACCAAGGAAACAAACTACAATGTAGCCAGCTTATCAAAACAACTACTAACAAAAATGGAAGAACTTCTCCTCCAGAAAGGACTGAACTACAACACAAGAGATGCCTCCAAACGAGAGTTTTTTGCATCATTAGAATCATCACTTAAAACATCAGGATTAATTGAAGTCACTCAGCAAGAAATATGGCGAACAATCGTACCACTAACCAGGCAGAAGAGACATCATGCTCAAATGAACACTGAAGAACAGAAAACATTAAAAAGACTGGAAAATAAGAAAGATATCGTTATACTTCCAGCAGACAAAGGACGCACTACGGTAGTCACGGGCAACGAAGACTACATCAAGACGGCATGGGATTTACTCAAAGACGAAAATGTATATCAACCACTTGAAACCAACCCTATCCAAAAGTTTGACAATCACATCAATAAAACCTTGGACAAACTCTTCAAAGCAGAAGAAATAACAAATTAAGACACATGGCGTATGAAATCGAATCAACTCATCCTTGCTCGGTTCTATGGCAGACCAAAACTACACAAACCAGACATCCTTCTACGACCAATTGTCTCACTTCCGGAAACTTCAACATATAACATATGAAGGAGACTTTCGAGAAGACTAAACATCGCATCCAATCCTTTGGAAATTCCATCAAATCGTCAATAGAATTCTTAGAAAAGATCAAAAGCATTAATATAGAAAACGACGAATTAATGGTATCCTTCGATGTCACAGCACTATTCGCTTCTATCGAACCCCATTTGACCACAGAAACTATATCCCTCCTGCTCACTGAATACAAAATTCTGTAGTGTCTGATAGCCGTTCAACCGGACAGTATAAACTGCAGCACGATGTATTCGTCCTTCGATACATTCATGTGTCTGGCCAGTCGGTGCCAAAGGTCCCGGAGGTTGGCAAAAGCCACATAAGCCCTAGGTATCCGAGCTGAAATTTCTTGAGCAACAAGCTCATCAAGACTGATGAACTTCTTCAAGTAAGTAAAATGGTCGACACATTTGAATACTTCGTTCCCTATCATTAAACTGCAAGTAGTTGCAGACCAGTCCTGCAGTATAATCTTACATTTAACAGGTGTTTAACACACGGTAAACATAGTCAGATTTCTATCAGAACTGTTCAGAAGACCTCACATTTTGTTAGCGCCTACACCCAGCAGAATAATATCGTCTGCATATTCCAATTCAACCAGATTACCACCTGGTAGGGAGTTGGTTAGTCACTTTCAAGTCATACGTATCTAAGTTTGTGTCCATGAGTGCGTCTATAACACAGCCAAATAATAACAGTGACAGTAGACATTTCTGGTGAACACCACTAGTTGTTCTCAATTTACATGACAACGCTCCATAAGGCCTGATGTAGTTGCATCTGTTCGAG